ATTGTCACTAACTTCACCCACCCACTTTCCCACTCTGATTTTTTATTTATTTATTTTTTTTGCTTTTCTTTCTCTCTCCTCTTTTACTGCAATTGTTATCTGTAGAGAGTGTGGGGGGTGTGTTGTGGTTTTAATTTTACTTTGTTCTGTAGCTTTTTGCTTTTTCTTTTCGTTCGGTTTGGATTTGTCCGAGCCTGATTCCGAAGCTGATACACGCCTAAAAATCAAATTGTTTTATTTACTCCATTCCCCAGTCAGATTAATACCATTTTATTATAATAATATTTGACTGTTTTCCAACTATTTATCTTTTTTCAGAGATTTTTTTATTATTTATTAAATGGTATACATAACATTTGTTGAACTAATATGATGAATATTTGTAAGTTGTAACTAATATGTTACTTCATTCTCCAATTACTGTTGTACAAATTTTACTGAAATGTTAAATACTATTTTAATATTATTAATACCGTTTTAATTTCTAAAGTGATTTTGAGCATTTTCTAATCTGATTTTGGCATAATTTAAAATAGGAAAACTTAGTAGTCCTAGGGTAGGGGCTTTCACCTTCACCAAAGAATCACTAAATAGTGTAATTTGAAAATCTTTCCTAATAGATGATGAGTATCGTGATGCCATAATTCAAATGGTTCTTATTATGTCCGGGAGGTGCAATTGAAGATTGTTTAATTTACCATGTGCGAACTAATTCCGCTTCAGGGGAATATCGAATCTGTTGAATTTGAATGCCTATCAAAGTCCACTCATCTGTTGAGACAGACTACATGTTACGACATTAGGTGACGTAACAGAATTGTTGTGTTGTCACAGTAATAAATCTACGAAAAGCAGAATAAAGAACACAACAATTTAATGTGGTTCGGATACAAACGTACCCTACATCCACGAGGACTTGCAAAACTAGTTCAGATTTATGTGTACATTAATAGGACTTAATAAAACACTAAAGACTCCCTCTTTATGTGATACGCCGTTCTTGCACACGACTCGAACTTGTTGATAATCAAAGCAATTCCTCCTCCGCACTCTTGGACTTCCTCCAATGTTGAACTTCCTTCAAACGGCGGATCGACCTCTCCCGAGATCTTTTAAGCACTTCTCCCGAAACGCCGATCTTCTTTATGGCCTGGTAGAAGAAACCTGTTATGTTGCCACACCTGCCGTGCAGACAGGGCTGCAGCACGGGCTGCACCCTTCAAAGCCTTTATGCTGGAATTTATCTTTTTAAAGCTCCATCGGACTCATATGAGGTTGAGGGCCTTATATAGGCACGAAATCCACCACCCTAAACCTAACTTGGGCCCTAAGAAATCGATTAACTAGGTAATAGAATCCTAGTCGATTTCTACTTCTATTCTAGATAAGTACAAAAGATACCTAACTAGAATATAATACATGGAAATAAATCTAAGTCCTAATAACAATATTACAAAAATAGGACTCTAATTAATTCCAAAATAAACATGGAAAACAAATCTTTGCCAATCTTTAATTTCCACGTATGGCGGATTTCTTCAATCTTCACAAATAGAAATCTCGTGCCAACAATCTCCCCCTTTGGCATAGATTGGTTAGAATCCATGTTTAACAAGAACTCCCCCTGCAGATGAGATTTACTCCCCCTGCAACACAGATGCCACTTTTCTTCACCCGTCTGGTCTTCTATCAGAGTGTCCCATCACGGGGCACGTTACAACGCAGCGGAATTGGGTGAATGCCGTGACAGTTTTCCGTCTCAACCTTCCTTGTGAACACACGTCATCCAATAAGCAAAGCAAACAAATCAAAACCCAAAATCAGACACTAAGTATATCTAGTGACCCGCTCTGATGCCAATTGTTGAATTTGAATGCCTATCAAAGTCCACTCATCTGTTGAGACAGACTACATGTTACGACATTAGGTGACGTAACAGAATTGTTGTGTTGTCACAGTAATAAATCTACGAAAAGCAGAATAAAGAACACAACAATTTAATGTGGTTCGGATACAAACGTACCCTACATCCACGAGGACTTGCAAAACTAGTTCAGATTTATGTGTACATTAATAGGACTTAATAAAACACTAAAGACTCCCTCTTTATGTGATACGCCGTTCTTGCACACGACTCGAACTTGTTGATAATCAAAGCAATTCCTCCTCCGCACTCTTGGACTTCCTCCAATGTTGAACTTCCTTCAAACGGCGGATCGACCTCTCCCGAGATCTTTTAAGCACTTCTCCCGAAACGCCGATCTTCTTTATGGCCTGGTAGAAGAAACCTGTTATGTTGCCACACCTGCCGTGCAGACAGGGCTGCAGCACGGGCTGCACCCTTCAAAGCCTTTATGCTGGAATTTATCTTTTTAAAGTTCCATCGGACTCATATGAGGTTGAGGGCCTTATATAGGCACGAAATCCACCACCCTAAACCTAACTTGGGCCCTAAGAAATCGATTAACTAGGTAATAGAATCCTAGTCGATTTCTACTTCTATTCTAGATAAGTACAAAAGATACCTAACTAGAATATAATACATGGAAATAAATCTAAGTCCTAATAACAATATTACAAAAATAGGACTCTAATTAATTCCAAAATAAACATGGAAAACAAATCTTTGCCAATCTTTAATTTCCACGTATGGCGGATTTCTTCAATCTTCACAAATAGAAATCTCGTGCCAACAGAATCGATTCGCATTCCTGCTTGAATCAAAGGCCAATCAATCTTATGAAAGAGCCGTGCCTCGGGTCGGATATCATCTTACTAGATGAAGAAAAGGCTAAGCGTGCATTCTATCCTTAGGGATTTTGGGAAGACGAAAATCAGTTAACTATTAACCCTAACTTTTAGAACGACGTACACAAATCTGAATGAGGCTTACAACCCTCCTACCTCGTTTAAAGAAAGTCAACCCATGCACCAATCGACGGTTCCAATCTCGATCTATTAAAAGAACATAGCCGGATTTTCACTATGTCGGACGATTCCTCTTCGAGTGATTTGGCTTGGCCACTGCTACTAAAGAAAGAAGTTTCTTTTAACCAAGATAATGAGCTAGCCACGAAAAGCGACAACTAAAAGAATGTAAATCGAAGCGGACAAATGAAGTTGAATTGGCCTAACCTAACGGTTCTACGCAAGGCGAAACCAAAAGTATTCGGTTGGAAGGATTGAGAATCTTAGAAGATGAACTAAAAATTTGTGGAGATTCGTGGACAATGCTTTCCAAAATTTTAATGATATTTAAATTTATAAAATAAAAAAAAAATATGTTTCAAGTAAAATGACATAAATCACTATATTTAGGTCAAAATATGAAGATTTTTTTACCCCTTAAAATTAGAGATTATGGGAATATAGATGAATTAACTAGGTGAATTCATAACTACATAAGATTGCTAAAATAAAAATCTTTCAAGTAGATGTATAGAGTTATGATGAATTGTAAATCCAAAATTATGAAAAAAATTAATCCAACAATATATAAAGGAAAAAAGAATTATATAAGAGACCATTTTATCATATAAGTATTTATAAATAAAACTCATTTCACAAATTATTGGAAAATATATGAGGGGGAAATGGGCCCTATTGAAGCCATTGGGCTTACACGGGGTCGATCCAAATTAGATGCTAATTCATATCCGATAGAAATTCACCAAATCACGTTTTGCACCCCATAAGTATTATTGATTGGCAATTTGCACCATACTATGTTAAAATTGACAAAATTAAGTCTCTAATTAATTATATATCTTGTGTCAAAATGCACCCATATCATTTAATTGTGAGAGTATTAAGAAAAAAAAAAATCAGAATACCACGATATAATCAAAATTATTGGACATTATTATTTTTTTTTTTAAAATTGATTGATATAAATTAGATGGATCGAATCGGAATACAAATTTAAAAGGATGCGAGAAATGAAATCCAATTTTGATAAAAAAAAAATAGAAAAGAGTTACAAGAATCAAAATAGAGAAAATCGATGGATAAATGTTAAATCATTTGAACACGAATTAAATGGATAAAAAATGGTGAAAACAAAAGGTTAAATAGTTAAAATCAATAAATATAAAAAATTGATATTTGAAAAGAAAAAAAGAGAGAGAGAGAGAGGAAGCTCAGATGCGCGTGTTTCGTCCAGAAGATCTGATCAAGTGGGCAACCCAATGTCCACGCGTAGCGCAGAGAAATCATCACAGCAATCCTCTTTAAATAAATGCACCAGCCGGGAATCGAACCCGGGTCTGTACCGTGGCAGGGTACTATTCTACCACTAGACCACTGGTGCTGTTGTTCTTAGAAATTGAATTTTATTTATACAATTAATAAACACATATGAGCAGAGTTGGGCCTTGGCCTGGTGTAGACAAGTCCGCTGGGTCAATAATTAAGGGAACGCTCTCGAATTTATGTAGTGCTGGATCCACTCAAATCACCAACAGTAACACACATCACATTTACATTAGCAATAATAGTTTACTAAGGTTGCTCGTAACTACATTTTAAAATATTAAGTAAAAGGCACTTTGATAATAGCATAATTAACCCCCCAAAAAAAAAAATTTGTTGTCAACGATAAGTTGTCAAATTATAGTGACGGGGACCACGGGGTTTTGCTTAGAGTATTAGAAGAGTTTATAAGGTCATTTAGCCCTTCTTACATGCTTAAATGGCATTGGGGAGAAAAATTGAAGAATAATCTTATATATAAAAGAAAGAAACGATGGGCAACCCTAAAACACCCAAATGGTATTTCTGTAATTATTTATTTTTAATATTTTTTCTCCACTCATTTCTAACTATAATTTTTAATAATTATCAGAATTAAAACTAAACCGTGTAGAATCCATTAGAACCCTATCGGAATAATGTATCCAATGCATTATCCCGTTAAAGTTTTTAACTACCTTTCAGGGGGTAGAGTGTAATTATCGATACCACAGGGACCTTACAGTTATTTAAGCATACCTCAGAGGTGTGGGTGTAATTTACCCAATTAAGAATTCAGAGTCACATCAATTCTTGTCTTGTTAATTGGTTCAAAATTAGGGGGTCGACAAGATGTAGGCGAGCCTGAAAATGATGGTCGAGTTTGTACGCAAAATGGCATATGCACCTCCACTATTAATTCACACCATTCACATATTTCCAATGTATCTTTAAAACTCTTCATTCTTCGTTCACATGTAACTAAAATACATACACACATTCATCATCATTTTATAAAACCATGCAAAATTTTAAGACGAGGCTATATTGAAGAAATTTATGATAATTAAAAAAAAATTCGAATTCCATCAAACGTTAGAGACTCATGAAATGAAGAGTTGAGATTTGAAAAATATCGCCATTAAGTGGATTTCAAATTCAATATATAATAATAATAATACTCCAATAATAATGGAATTAATTCGAGAAACTCATTTTCTGACAAAAAAAAAAAAATCGAGAAACTCACGATTAATGTGGACATATTTATTAATTGCGAATTTAAATAACTCTAAATTAATGTAGAAATCAAAAGAAATTAATTAGTATGTTGTGTCGTGTGTATATCACATGTACATGTTGAAAATTGGTTGATGGGCAAAATGGGAACGCTACTGAAATTCTATGGATTGAAAACATTTCCATATGCCAACAAAAATTATAACGGGGCCCACATCACTTCACTAGAAGAGATGTGCAACTGCAGCTGGAGATATGATGATATTTGTTCCCATTTCACGTTCATTTTTTCTAAGTCGGTATATATATTTATTAATATAGATATATATATATACTTAATTTAATTTCTTCAGATATTTCCATAAGTTAATATAATATCTAGTTTGGCATGCACAGATTCATTAATTTACATTCGTCCCACAAAATCCAAATCATTCTATTCAAATGCAACTAGCTAAAAGTTATTCATTCTATTCATTTTTATACACTATTTATTGCTAATCCAATTTAATTAAACCACCCAACTAATTTGTGATGTATAGTTTAAAGAGTTCCACTAATTATATTTTAGACAATTTACAGTTTAGTTCATCCAATTTAATTAAAATATACATTTTTTTTTATTTAATTTAATATGTGCCATTCTTTTATGAATATATAGTTCAGGAAAAAAAAAACCGGGGGCGCTGCACCCGAGCCCTTGTGAACATTTAGCCCATGCTCTGCAACAAATTCTGGCTCCGCCATTGTCCACCTCACACACATTATATAAAAAGGTCAAAATGGCATTGAGGAGGTGTCTTCATCAGATATCTCACACACACACACACGCAAACAGCTACTGCATGTTCACATTTCACTATCATACAAGCACAGCCTTAGATTTTCTCCAATGTCCCTATAAAAACCCAAACTTAGTTTCTTCTATATAATATATAATAAATTCATATAAGGAAAAATATATCTGAAATTAATTATATATGGCATTCTTTTTGGGAGATAAATTAATGTCACCATTTTTTTCTTGTGTGGTTCTATGTTGTTTGGCGGTGTTGTTTTCGTGCAGTAGTAATGTATCGAAAGCTGATCAAACGGTTGTACCGGCAATGTACGTGTTTGGAGATTCACTAGTAGATGTTGGCAACAACAACTACTTGCCACTTTCTGTTATCAAAGCTGACTTTCCGTACAACGGTATTGACTTTCCCGGTCACAAGCCCACAGGCAGATTCTCCAACGGCAAAAATGCAGCTGACATAATTGGTACCTTATTTTATATTATAATTATTATTATTAATATAATTACGTACCATTAGTTGTTCTTCATAATTGGTCTGATAAATTAATTACAGCGGAGAAATTGGGGGTAACAACGCCGCCGCCGTATCTATCCAAACCAAACAATGTTTTTCTCAAAGGTGTAAGCTTTGCCTCAGGCGGAGCTGGAATCTTTAACACCACGGGCGAGAGCCTCATTGTAAGTGAAATCATGTACTAGCTCAAAATATCTAGATTTTTCTGTATGAATACATTTGATAAAAATCCAAAAAATAAAATAAAAAATGAATACATTTGATAAAAATCCAAAAATAAAATAAAAAATATTGAATGCGGTGAGCGTGGATCGAACACGCGACCTTCAGATCTTCAGTCTGACGCTCTCCCAACTGAGCTATCCCCGCTTTGTTGACATTTCTTCTTGTGTTGCTTATTTCTCAGAAACACACGATCCCGATGGCTCACCAAGTGGGCCATTTCTCAAGTGTTCGTCAGATTCTAGTGAAAGCAATGGGGTCGTCAAATGCTGTGCAGGAGCACTTCTCGAAATCATTCTTTCCCATCGTAATTGGAAGCAATGACATTATTAACTATTTCACGACGGGCTCCGACCTGTCCGAGAAAAACTCCCCTCAGCAACATGTTACTCTAATGGTTTCCACCCTCAAAGAACTGCTCAAGGTATACAACATTGTTGCATTCATTCATTCATTCGAAAAAAAAATATTGTTAGAAAATAGCATAGAATGTTTACTTCATTGTTGCATTCATTCATTCATCCGGAAAAAAAACATTGTTGCTAATCGGTCAACAAAATCTAGGGAATATACGGTCTAGGAGGAAGGAAATTTTTGGTAATTGGAGTAGCACCAATAGGATGCGCGCCCAAGCAAAGATATAAGAACACGACCAATGAATGCAACAACCAAGTAAACTACTGGTCGAAAAAGTACAACGAAGAGCTCACACAGATGTTGCCTGCTCTGAAATCAGAGCTCAAAGATTTCCACTACACTTACTTCGATGTGTATCGTGTATTCGTCAACTTCATCGAAAGTCCAGCAGCTTACGGTACTACATCAAACTTCATTTTCTGTTCTAATCTCTTTCTTGAACAAAAAAAAATCATAGAATGTTGATAACATTATAAGAAAATATCAATATATTTGGCGTTTAGGTTTCAGTGAGACGAAAGCTGCTTGCTGCGGACTGGGAAGACTGAGGGCAAAGATTCCCTGCACGCCTCTTTCTCAGTATTGTTCGAACAGAAGTGCTCATCTTTTCTGGGACATTTACCATCCCACTGAAGCGGCTGCTCGAATTTTCATCGATATGCTTTTTGCTGGCTCGCCAGATTATGTATCCCCGATAACCCTCAAGCAGCTAATTGCTGTATAAAACCTATCACGATCCATGAGTGAGGATTATGAATTTTCCCTTCGATTCTTGGATTAGTAGTTAGTTTTCTGCATTTGCTTTGTGTGTATATGCAAAGAATGTTTATTTATTTTCAATACAATATGGAAGCAGCAAATTCTGATAGGTTCGTGTAATCATCAAAATACAATTTTATCGACTACTGAGGATTGTAAAGCTGCGAAGGAAATATATCTTCAAAGAAAAGAGACAGGTCACCATTTGAGGTATCGAAAGCTAAAATCTTCTCCACAGCCTCCTGCATTTAGTTTGCATACTTCATTACGGGTTCACGGGAAAAAAGTTATAAAGGCTCAATTAAAACGCACGCAATATACACCTTATACTGCTGATCCTGTGCGGATATACTATCATGAAGAAGTCTCTCAATATTTGTATTATTTCCAATTGTGAGCAGTACAGATGCTGCTCTCTTTATAACTTCCTCAGGAACTCCTAAACAAATCGATCAAGAAAACTTTGAAACAAACTACAGTGCACACCGATAATTAACTTATAATTTGAATTGGCATATCCTCCAGATATATGAAACCTACTGCTTAAGAATCAATACCATGATATTCTAAATGCATATATTTTCCATGGTAGGATAAAATCTCGTTTTTTCAAGATTATATTATAAAGTAGAAACGTACCCGCAAGTAGTGCACAGTGTAATCCTGCAAAACAGAATATGGAATTGGCTATTAAGATTTTGGAGAAAAGAGATTGTAAATTGTTCTTGGCTCCAACAGATGGTTCAACAACTTACCGTAGCTAAGAAGTGCACGTCCAGGAACCAACCTGCCAACAAAAGGAATAAGTCAAGAAAGATGAAACAGTATAATATTACCTATATAAACAAGAGGGGGATAAAACAATCCATCGAGATATTAATTCTTTTGTTTCTTATAATAATTAGATTCTATCTGTTACCAAAAGCAGCACAATATTACCTATATAAAAATACAATGTCATCGACTTCTGTGGTTTTGTCGTCTGGGCTTAGCACACTCATGGTGTAATACTTGATCTTGTTTGACTGCAGGTATTAAATGATATTGATTGTAGCAATGCAGAGGTAGACAGCTGTAGAAGCTTTTTATTATGTGAGTGTAAACCATTAACTCAAAATATGGTACCTCCAGTAAATAGCCATTTTCAAATATCTCACTTAAGTGAGTAGATAGCATAACCTGCAGAAAAGTCGAGGGAATAAGAAAACTGAAGAAACAAAATTCGGACAAAGGGAGTAATAAATCACCTTTCTTAAACCTTACGTATAGAGAGGATGACAATAACAAACCTTTGGAGGATTATCAGATGAGGCAAAGTAATTTATGGTTCCACCAAGGAGACCAATCCCGTCTGAAAATTGATAAGTATCAAATCTTAGGCACTAATAGTTGCAACCTAAAGGCACAAAGAGGTGTGCATTCTAACAGTAGCAAACCTTCAGAAAGAGTTCCTTTTCCGAATTCATCCACTAGACATAAGGACCTTGAAGTTGCATGCCTGAAGATAAAATTCTATTACTAACGATAAATCTATAAATAGTAATACACTGTCCAAAACAACACCTACAATAATCCACAAACGATATTTTCTTCCCACTCGTCAATAATGTCTCCACACGTCACAACACTGAAAAAAGTGCTAGTAAAAGAAATCAATGTTCAAGAGTTCAATACAGATATCTCTGTCTATAATTTTCTAGCATACCTCAACATCATGCCCACTTGTTGGAGGTCAATCATAAATGTAGACTGTTCAGCAGTCATAAACTTGCTTCCCGTTGCACAGAATATCCTATTTTGGTGCATGAGAGCATTATTGCCAATTACGAAATAATTTAAAAAAACGCCCCATGAAACGAGAAGGATTGACAGGCAAGGATGATACCTATCGGTCAAACCCACTGTGGCTGCATCCGCGGGTACAAAACTTCCAATATGGGAAAGGAAAACAATGAGTGCGACCTGAAATGTAGATGTACAAAGAAGTGAATAAGGTAGGAAATACCGAGAATAACTGATATTCAGCCATCTTCAATTTCATATTTTCCAAGAAAACTTGCTTCAAATAATAAAAAATAGGCAGATGATGAAGTGCCCTATGCTATTCAAAATTTAAAACTAGTTGGGTCTGGAAAGAGGAAGTTCATTCTTACTGACCTGCTTTACGTAGATACTTTTTCCAGAATAATTAGGCCCAGTGATGATATTGATTCTTCCTGAACCGGCGAGTCAATGACCTCTCTTAGTTATAAAAATGAGTGAGAAATCTAGATCTGATCAACTCAAAGGGCAAATTCGTCACAAATACCTTCATCCAGAATCTTCGTATCATTAGGAATAAATGTATCAACTGTCATTTCCTGCAAAACATGTCTGATGGCAATAATAAAGCTTCATACTATCTTCACAATGGAGTTAAGACTAGCCAATGGGTAACTTATATTGCATAACTGCTCCAACCTTCCATTTCTTATTTCAAGCATGCTTTCTGAAGTCAAAATGGGCCTTGTGTAGTTGTTCTGTCGAGCAACTAATGCCAATGACAACGAGCTAGAAATAATCACATTGAGATCAGGACAGAGTAAAAGGAAAATCACAGAGAAACTCGGGAAAAAATAAGGGAAATTAATCAAAGATAAAAGTAAAGTTTGCTCACCAATCAAGCTCAGCTGCAAAAGTTACAGCTTTGAGTAAAGGAACAGAGAATTCAAGAACATGCATGACAAGGTCTCTGGTAATTGCTCTCTCCATGTCTTAAAATATAGAAACAACAGAAGAGAAAAAAGGAAAAAAAGAAAAAAAAAGTATCAAGTAAAATGAACGCTAGAACATTAAAACAAGTATCTACATGCAAAAGTACATGCTCTTGAAAAGCAGAAAAATTATGACAAGAAAGCTGTTAAAAGGAATTGTCTTGCCACACATGGTCAAGGTTGATATAATACTTATGCTCATTTTAAAGACATGTTCATGAAAGACTGTGTATCAGCTTACCCAAAATTTTGTGATAAATATCTCCTAGAAGATTATCTAGTTCCCGTGTCTTTGCAGTGCGATAGAAAAACTTCTTGGTGTCTCCATCTTCGTCAGAGAACTATGATTTTTAAATCCAATAGAAGAATTGAAAATAAAACATCCTCCTTGTATGAAAAATGACAGAACTGATATGCAAGCTTCGACTTACAGCAAATTCAAAATCCTGAAGTTTCTCTAGTATGTTGTCATCCAGTTTTTCTTCATAAATACACATTAAGTAGCCTGTGTCATATATAAAGACCAATTGTTTGTTTAAATTGTGGATTCGAAACTCAAAATATAAAAGCCATCACAAAAGCTCAAACCAACCTATCTGATGTATATAGACAATACATGGAATGAATTTTTCTTTAGACATATGCGGTAATCGCGCAAGTTCCAAAGATGAGACCTGTGAATGCAGGTAATGTCATCACGTCATGTACATGGTCCACATTTTCACCGAACAAGATAATTAAATACAAAGCACCTCTTCCAGAAATTCGGGCAATTCCTCATATATCTGCCGTAGCTCATCCAACTGCATGGAATAAAGTTACTAAACCACAACGATCTAACAAGATGCTAGGAGAATTGCAAGCACTGAAGGATATAGACTAAAACCCTAATATGCTTCATAACGGTGATTATGTATTACCTCCCCGCAGAAACCATCTTTCACTATTGTCTCCCAGCCTTTTTCCTTACTTCGATTTACATCTATAACTCCAATTACCTGCAAAAGGTTGAAACAAACACAAAAAAAAAATTAATTAAAAATAAAATAAAATAAAAGATGGTGTACGAAGACCAAGATGACTAATGATGAGAAAAAAGAACTATTAGCATTCACACACACCAGTTCATATACATAAGCCAGATCCATGGAGATGTAAAGACCAGCCTACAATGAAAATATATGCAATAAATGAATAAAAATGTTGGTACGAGGTACGAGTAAAAGAACAAATCAATAACAGGAAATGAATAATTGGTGTGAAAATGAAGAGAAACATCAGTAGCAGTAATACCTTCTCGATGACATCCAAGTTTAAATGGTTCAATTGCTCTCGAAGCGTTTCAGAAATGCCTACTTCAAATATCTTATTGATGTGCAGCAGTGAACATATGCTCTGTAAACACAGTTCTTATTGTCTTACATTTGCAAACAAGAAAAATAACGAAACGGGGAACATGAAGAATAACACATATGAGTCACACTATTGGCATCCAGAAATAACTGTTGATGCATGTTCCTGTCTTCCTTATACATCAAATGCTGCCCCGTGTATAAATTTTCATTGACCATAATTATAGATTATTAGGTTGCATTATTTTGAATACTGAAATACGAATTGATTTAACACAGTCAAGACTTCAACTGCTTAATGGATCAAGTGCGCTAAGTCCTGGAAATAGAAATTAATTAGATTGAGAGTGTGCTTTTTGATACTAATCTATGCCATTTTATGTCTTTCAGAACTTCTGGGCATTTGATATGCAACAATGATTGAGTTTTAGTTTCCCTTTTCCTTATTTTTCTATTGAAGAAACTCTTGGCAACGTATCACAATGGACTATTCTCAGATAAAGCGGGAAAAAGGCTATTTGAGACACAAGGTGGTTAGTTTGAACGAACAATATCGCATCTCAACAATTTGAAGTAATGATAAATGCAAGCTGAACCCTTAACCCTCCTTTACTGTGAAGAAATGAATCAAAAAGGAAAATTGACTGAGAACAGAAGAAGGAGCAAATCTTTGCACCAAAGAAACATCTATGTAAAAAAATTCTGGGGAATGGAATGTTGACCTCTGGAATTATTCCCAAAATTTAAGTTTTCAAAATCGTGAAGGTATAACTTGTTGTGTTGAGAAAGAACAGTATCGTACCTTTAGCAATGCAGTCCAGTCACTACTTGTGCAAACAGAACTTGGAGAGTTGATTTTCTTAAGCAATTCCAATAATTTGAATTAGAACCATGGAAAGAGATGCTATAAGTGGTAAAGAACATAGAGTAAATGAAAATAATGCAGTAATGTGTAAATTAGCATATGAAAGAAGAATATGAGGTTTGCCATATGAGATAGTAGGTATTTTTGATTTTAACAATATTTTAAATGATACTGATCATAAATAATAATGCTAAAGTACATTTATCAGGACAGCTAAGTAAAGGTTTTTGCACCTTGAGTATGTGAGGAATATCTTTCACAGACTTTAATGTTTGACGCAAAGAAACCAACAATTCTTCAGCGCAAAGAAAGAAAGATATCTTGATTCATTGAGAAGAACACTGAAGTAACAAGGGCACTGCATCCGTGTTTCAAAACATTTGGCTTAACCAGCAGTGGATGTAAATTATTAGTACTAATAAGGATACATCATTCATGCCTAAAAACCAAAATCATACTACAACATTCATCCTCTAAAAATATTTTGATTCTATCAGACCTTGTAGTACTTTGCACATGCTCAGCACCTTGAAATTAATATCAACAGAACACATTAAGTTAAGCAAAAATGACAACAATGGTACATGTGACTAGGACAAGGATACGGTATCGAGACGAATATTCAACTTTTCAAGGTCCAGTATGGGCCTCAGGAACCAGCTCCTAGATAAATAACACTATTAGGTGAAGGACCAAGCAAAGATACGGCAGTCATGACAATATTATGTCAATGGGAAGTATTTTACCTTAAAAGACGTCTCCCTATTGGCGTTACACACTAAAAGAAAGCAAACGAATCAGTCCCAACATTTTATTTCTTTGCATCATCTTAGATATTATCATATGATACAAAAGACAGGAGTCTCACAGGACCTTATTCATCATCCCATATACAGAGAACCTGCAATAAGAAATACCAGTGAACATTTCTTTTAAACCTCCACTTCATCAGAATGTTCTGCTTTTCCACCATTGATCTATGTTCTATGAATTGCATATTTACTCAAACAAAACATCAAGAGTGTGTTTCATGATTTACCCTTCCTTTGATCTGCCAATGCCCATATGGCTCGGATGCTTGTCAGTCTGAAAAATTTGCAATGCCTCGTGGGCAACAGAATCAACTTTGAGGAAATTGTTTCTGGTCTTGTTTGTTAAGGTGTACATTTTATCATATTGAATCCATATTTACCCCTAAGATTCATACACATAGCATAAGGAAAGAACTTAACCTTAAATAGAAAAGGAAGATGGAAGATGGAAAAGATACAGTGAAATCTCAGAAACTGAATTGATTGCAATTGATGGGTTTCCACTTTCCATCTGTTCAAGGGTGTCTACTATCCTCTCATTCTCTAATATGGCAAGAAGACCCCCACTGGCACGAACTTGAACATCACTTCGGACGTCCATCATGGAACTAAGCTGAAATTAAACGAAAGAACATATCTACTTGCTACAAAATTTAAACCAAGAATGTGATCCAATGTGTACTCTAACATCACGAGTTCGAGAGACATGTATATTCATGCTAAGTTTTCATTATTTGTTCATATAACCTCATTTCGAAATATAGTTGAAGTATGTAATTGGAGATTTGGCTAGTATCTACCCAGACGAAGATTTCTGACAACCAGGACACTTGTCAGAAATCTGCTAACAATGATGGATAAAATTGATGTTGGATGAAGAAACTATCTTTGAAAGTAAACAAGATAAGGCATATTGGTGTTTCAGGACAGTTGGTTCTCAACAAGAAGTGGATATTCTAGGTCTTCATTCTTCAGTCTAATGATTGCTATCTCACTAGTTGCTTTACAGTATATGCAATATCAGATTCCTCCCTTTTCTTTGGAGGATATCTAATGTAAATGGGTTGTATGCATTGAAAACATGAGTCATTCACAAAAACAGTGTATAAATCTAGTGGATAGGTATAACACGACAATCTCTACTCTGACAGAAATACGTCCTCAGAGTTGAGAAAGGAAAACAGGCAAATAATGCATTAATCTAGCTCGAACTGTTCAACTTACAAAAGAAACCCTTTCCTTGATGTTCAGCCCTTCATGCATTCCAGTAACTTGCAGATATATCAATCTATTTTATGCCAAAAGAAAAATTAGAAATTAGAAATGCGGTACTAAAATAAGTTAGGTAGAAAGAGGCAACAAATTCCAAATGTTGAAATCACATGCCACAAATTCATCTGGCAATATGTGAACAGAAAACAATAAGATACAATCCTCAACAAAATACTGCTCTTTGCCTTCCGATAGCATCAACAAATGATCAGATGCCATAAACATGAGTCACGAGAATCTAGTCTAATTCTGATCTGATGGCCACAAAATCAACATACAATCCTGATAAAGTCCATAAACCATATCATCCCACATGATGTACTTCAATAAAGTGATCAGCTTGCAAATCTTTCAAAAGAAGAACAAAGTACAGAGGTACAACTAGCATGAAGACTTAAATCATTTTGTCAGATGGATTTCTTTTTAGCATTCATACATTAATCAAGTTCACAATCAAGATATCCCTTTATAAAGTATGTAAATTTGATATCCTATGGATATACAAATTAGGAATGCCGATGTTTACCACAGCTTTTTCAGATGTCAATACGAGCATATGGCGCAGCAGCTTACAGTTTCTAGAGTCCGGATATTTATTTTATAATAACTAGTCAAATTTTGGATGCAAATACAAGTACAAAGTTCTGATAATGTCGCCGTACCTGTGCCATGCTTGCTCGTAGCTGAATAATGAACTTTTTACAAGCTTTACTGTTGGAGCTTCAGCTGTCCCATCTGCTTAACTCATGATATTAAAAACATAAATAAAAAGGCAGCTGAAAGTTCAATGAGATATCAAGTTATTGAGCAGTGTACCATTTTTTTGTAAAGCAGCTAAGAAGGATTCTTCACTCTTAGTGCTAGTATAGATGATGCAAGGTTGGGCTTGATATTTCACTACATCAACAGTGAGCCAAAGTATATTATGTAGAAAAAATCATGAAAGAAGATCTACACGCTACTTAAACATTTTGCCTTCATGTACCCATCTCAACCAAGGGAAAATTTTCATTGTCATCTTCCCAGAACTCCAGAACATGAAGTTGACATATACTGGAATCGTAATAAGAGATTCCAACTCTGTAAAAAGTTAAATTCAGATTAACAATTCGGTTTAACGTTCTCTCTAATTCTGACAAAGATGTACGATATCCAACCTCCTAATAAAAGCCTTAATGCAGAAAGAGCATTACCTTCGACCATGCATGATGCACGCCATATAGACCTGTCACAGAAATCCAGGGAGATAATCTATTAAACATGGAAAATAAATCTTTCAGTAACATCAATAAATTCATACCAGCGAACCTTATTAAAGTAAGATAATTACGAAGAATGAGGTACTAATGTGTATAAGTCTAACTACTGTTTCAAATAAAATTGACATCTCTAATGGCTGCATCCAGCTATCAACAAATGAAATAGAGTCAGTCATTACAATTCAAACAACAATTTTAAAAAACAACTGAAATTCTCAGATGTTTTACGTCGCACCTTCGTATTAATAAATATTTTAATAGATTTGTCGCTAACTCTGCCTCCTATAAGCCTTCCATTCTACTTCTAGTTTTGAATCTCAAAATTGAGTTTATGATTACTTCTGGAAATTTAGAATCTAATCTAATTTATTACAGCTGTGAAATATGTCCATCACATTTTTCTAGGGTTCATTGCTCGGATGCATGGAAAAACAGAATCTAACGAAGTTTTAGAAATGAATTTCACTCGATCGCAGTTAGAATTACATATATCACTGATTAAATTTTCAATCTCTCAAATTCCGGAACGATAATTTGTACCAATGAAACGCTGCTCTTATTCAACCAAACGCAGAACTGAAGAATCAAACTGATAAGTCGAATACACAAAAAAAATGGTCGGATTAGATAATCACGAAGCGGTACTGAGATTGTGTTTACAAACAGTTAAATTCCATTGATTTTATCCCCATATACAAATTCCGAAACCATACGACGGAAATATATATTGTAAGATAACGGATAGAAGTAAAACCTGATGTTCGGCATCTGTTTCGTCGACTTCTTCCATTACTTTGAGATCTGAATGTTCGTAGGCAAATCTGAGATAGAGCGAGCGAGAGAGAGAGCGAAGAAGAAGAAGAAATCTGCAAAATAAAATGCCAGAGACGTTCGCGCTCTTTTTGGTCGACTCGAGTCACTCAACGCAACTCTATTCCAAAATTAGATAGTCGGTGGTTCAAATTTTATAAAATTAAAAATCGACTATTTCTAAGATTATGTATTTCATGAACTTTGTCCAAGTATAATTTCTCATAATATTTGTATATCACCGATAATTATCAATTTTGTATGCATTTGCGTGTATATATATGTATGTATACATTGTACATTAGTTAACTAATTATCGACCCAACTTCACAGTGTGAGAATATTTATTGACTGATTGTGCGTATGTTGGTGAGTCAACTAAGTATAGTTATCAGGTAAATCTACGATATCTTAGACTGAGTGAACGTAATTTGGTGCTAGTTTCCAGTTATGTTTCTTTTTCTGAGTTTTGATTATGTATCAATCTGAACAAGTACCCAACACAATTTTGCAGAAAGAATATTTAAAATTCATAAAATTGAGTACAATTGGTAAGTACCATTAATGTATCATTACTCAACCAAAACTCCTAATTAAAAATTGAATTATCCCAACTTGTCCGCTTCACCGTTGATCTTCTTCCGATGGATTATCTCCATCCTCCTTTTCCACTCTGGACTGAATATCCTTCATTATAAACTCCGGCACAGCAAAATTCACCACCCAGTATGCAAATAAACACACACCCCTGCCACCAACAACAACAAACATTTTTTATAAATCACAAATTATATCCTACAAAAATAATAATAATAAAAATCGTGTTAGCAGAATGAGATGAACCCTGTCTGAAGTAGGACCGACAACTTTCCTCCGACGACCGGCGCGCTTGCTGCAAGAAAAATAGAAGAGGCTGCCGGTAGAGACCTTGTCCTGAACGACAACGCTAAGGAGAAACTGCGATTGGTGTAATTAAGATTGCGATTTGTAAATTCATTTTGGTGGTTATATTTGTGGTCGGAAAATAATTGAGAGTGCAGAGAGTGAGAGGTGATGCACTTCATTTTTATGAAGCTCTGTTCTAATTAGTCTGGATAATGTGATGTGCTTTTGGAAGGGAGAACTGGTGGTCTGGTTGGTATGTGCCACGTGGGCCCGCTTCTGTAGTGGGCTTGGATTGAATTAATTTTACAATGCGGGCCTGGGCCGTGATACGTATTGGGCGGTCGGGCCTGGGTAGGCTCATAAGGGTATATTTGTCAATTAAAGTGACTCGATTTTTGTATAGAGTTGTATATTTGCTTATTTCGTCCCTAAGAGTTCTTTAATTAAAATGTTACCCATATTTACTACAATTAGAGCATTGGAACTTCTCTTTATCTTGAGTAGCTCATTCCAAATCGTTGATTGAATAAAGTTATTTAATATTATTTTCCGAAATCCTTTCTCGAATCCAAATTCTTTAATTAACATGAAGGCAAAAAAATGGATGGAGATAAAATAAAGTGAAGGTATATATCTATATTATTATTCGGGTAAATTACAGAAACCCCTATGAGGTAAGGTTAAATTACAAGAAAATCTTTCACATTTAGGTAATTACAATCACTCCCGTAAACTATGGATCTTCTTACACGTTCACTCTTACGGTATCAAATTTAATGGAATCTTTTATATTATGTGGAATATTCTCCAGTTTGTACTCGTTTTACCCCATTTCAGCTCTACATTTTGAAACAAGATAATCATAAGATGTGGCTCTTAACTTGTAAATATTAAATTGTGGTGCATCAGAAATTGTTTTTTTTTTTTTTGCACAAAACGAATACAAATTAGAGAACATTTCACGAAATCTAGAAGATTCTATTAAATTTGTCACCATAAAGGTGGACGTGTAAGAAGATTCATAGTTAAGGGGATTGTTAGTAATTACTCAAACATGAGGGGGTTTTTCATAATTTGTCCTTATCTAGGAGGGTGTGGCTGTAAATTACCCATATTATAATTATTAATTTAATATTTTATATGGGTAGTGGGAACAGTAGTAATTACAAGATCACAAGAATTAGCTATTAGCTGCACCTGAATTCCCTCCAAAAGTTGCATGAAATTAAATACTAAATTAATCCATCCGTTTCCAGAAATAAAGTCAAAATCTGAAAATGGTGATCCTCTCATCTGAAAGAAAAAGTCATGCAAAAGAATGAAAACAGCAATCAACAACATGACGTTTATTCAGTGTGATTGATGAGAAAAAAAATCCGACTTTTGTTCAGAGAAATTATATACAGATGGGGTGGTGCATGCATTAATTATCTATCGATTGAGAAAAAAAAAATAGAAAAGAAAAGATGAGAGAGGATTAAACAAAAGAAGTGAACGTAATTAAAACCTTCTCAACCATCCCTTTGACAAATTTCGTACCGTTTGAAATTAATCTCTCTCTCTCTCTCTATATATATACTCGGTGAATTTGAGAAGTATTATTCATCAGATTAAAAAATTTAGTTCTGATTTTTCAGATGAAGATGGTGAACAGAGTTTTTGTTTTCCTTCTTCTTGGTTCGGTTTTTTGCATCGGTGGTGCGAGAAAGCTTGTTGGGTCAGAGGGTTCTTTCGGTGATCAGAAGAATTTCTTTCCCGGCCCGGGATATGGCGGCGTTGGGGCGGGAGGAGGTGGTGGATTTGGTGGCGGAGGCGGTGGAGGTGTGTTGGGTGGAGGATCCGGTGGTGGATTTGGCGGAGGAGCTGGTGGTGGCATTGGAGGAGGTGGATTTCCTTGAAGCTCTTTAATTTGTTTGCTAGTTTCTACGTATAGTAAAAATCAAACGTTGTCGTTTAATAAACGTAGTCACTATATATATTTGCATGGAGTCATTTGTTTTACTATTGGTGTTTAATTTGTATTACAAATTATATATTTATGAAGACAATAGCTCTTCAATATATAATATTGTGTTGTGTATTTAAATTTATCTATCACAATTAAGATGATAAATTGTGTTATATGTAGTATTTCATTTTCATATATATTTTCCTTTTCCTTTATTTTTTGTCTAATAAATTAATGCTTTCATTTTCCATTTGGGAAAATAAAACAAAATTAATTTTTGGCTCTAAATTTAGTCACATCTTTAGATTTTTGGTCTATTGCCACTAACAAATTAACT